ATTGCTTCCTTCAGACAGTCCAATTGTTGACAGTACAGGTCCGAATTAAGAGTTTGGCCGTAGGGGAGCATCTCATAGTAGATGATTCCCTGTCAATCCCACCAAACACACAGCAAAACCTTCCTGACCGTCAATCCTGGCTTGGTCATCGTTTGTGCCGGCTCACCGCGATTCGACCACGACCGTTTTCGCTTGACGTCGTCATAAGTGACCCACTTTTCATCACCAGTCACTATCCGCTTCAGAAATAGGTTGATTTTGTTGCGATTCAGCAGCGATTCGCAGATGGAAATTCGATCCATGAGGTTTTTTTGCGTTAACTCGTGTGGCACCCATACATCGAGCTTCTTTTTGTATCCAGCCTTATTCAAGTGGTTCCAAACGGTTTTTTGTGCAATGTTTAGCTCCTGGACAATCGAAACAGTGCTTACATGACGGCCGGACTCGACGATTTCCAATTATTTTATCGACATTTTCGACAATTGGCCTTCCAGAGCGTGGTGCATCTTTGACATCAAAATTGGAACGGAATCGACAAAACCAAAATTGCGCGTGATTGGCTGTTACAGTATCAGGACCATAAAAACTATTCACATTTTCAGCTGCCTGGCTTGCGTTTTCGCCTTTATCGAAGAAAAACTGTAAAATATGGCGTATTTTCTCTTTGCTGGTGTCCATCTTTGACGCGCGCTCCAACAATACTGAGTCAAGCAATCACAAACTGAGAAGTTTTTTTAATACGAAATCTTATCTTTCTAACGCCATCTAGCGTAATCCGATCGCACTTATACAACGCGAGATACAGATTACTAAAGCCTATTGGAAAAATAATGGATTTCTTTTTACTACACCTTATATTATTCTGATTAGACATTGTATAAAAATTAAAATAGATTATACAATAAAATTAGCTTTTAAGGTTATTTTTCGATCAAGTGTTTAAAATCTTACTCTTATTATCGAGTATATTAATTGATCCGTTGTTGTCCCAGAACAAACCTTAAAGTTAACTTCCTTTTTATTTGTGATGTCCTTAAGAGCAGCATATTGTATATTTTCTCTCTGATTCTTTGATGTATCGCATTCATCAGTCCTCTCCAACATAATCGCTGCATCAGAAACCTTGCTGGAAAATCCCGCCTGCAGTTCATAAGAAATCGGCTGAAGAGTTATGCCATTGGAGAAGAAGCTTTTGTTCCTACTTTCGATGAAATATTCGCAATTTTCATTTTGATTTTTGTAGAATTGATTACTATCCTTTAATCTCTCATCGACGTAGCTTAAATCTTCTTTATAAATGGAATCATGCTTGTCATTAATATTGCATGGCATCCTCCTGCCACGTAATGTGTGTTGTGATCTCTAGGTAAAATTTACTGATTTTTGTTGATCTATTTCTTGACTAAGATTCACTCCTTGTAAATCCAAAGACTTCTGATGCAATTTTTAAAAAATGGCAGTGCGTTGGATACTCTGTTTTCCAACCGACTTCTGGCGACTTCGCTAAACAAGATGGAGCTCTTATCTTGGATTGATGAAAATTCCTCGATGCCATGTCTGAATTTCAGTTTCGTTTTATGGAAAACTAACTTTCCGATATCATTCATTGTAATATTCTCGTATGCCTTCTCACTTCATATTCTTTAAGGAAGACCAGACAATTCCTATCAGTTGAGCGATGCTTTCCGTTAGAATAAATAGAGGTATTTCTAATACATTCACCCTCATGCTTTTTCTCGCTACACATAATACACTTCGAATTGCATACTTTACTTGGGTGACTGTATTTGAAGCAATTAAAACATTGTAGGCAAGGTAGGCATGTAGGATTCGACGTTGAATCTGATCTTATGAATATAAATCTCGCTCGGCAGGATTTGGCCTGAAAAGATTATAACAACGGATCCGCTTTGTATCCACTTGGGTTCGTCTTCTTCTTTAGGTTCTATCCTGTTTCTTTTATTGAGTCTCCTAGCATGAAGCACTTTAAAAGTGACTCCATGCAGCTTCCAGAATTTCACTTTCAGGAATGTCTTCGTCTACCCTCTTAATTAAGCCTGCCTTGAAATAAAGGTTTCAAGACCATAATCATCGAGAATGGGATCGGCTATTAATTTATTGGCTTTAAATAAATTTTTAAAACTCATCTTAATTTTGGATTTCAATTTGCTGCATAAAAATTGCAAATTAATGTTCTTGTAATGAGAGCAGATAATCCTATAATATCTTGAGTGAACTCAATCTTTTTACTTGTGGTTCTTTTTCGGATAAATTTTTATATTGAATCCATACTGTATACGGATCTTGTTGTCTTGAAAAAAATTGGATACATCAATATTCCTACTTCGATTAATTATCATTCACTTGCAACGGCAATTGAACAGGCACAAGATAATGGCAACCTTTTATAAAAATGGTCATCTGGTTGCTCGCTTTTTCTTTTATTGCAAGAACCAGGGGCACAGCCTCTTACTCTCCTCGTTCGATGTCCCCTTAATTTCAATCTTGTATACTAGCGATCCTCGCCTGCAAGCGTGGGAGAGGACGACGGGTCAGATACAGACCGCAGTATCTAGGTTATGTCGACTTTCTTGTGAATATTATTACCAGTCTTAGTTTGATTACTCTAACTACTGAAAGCAGACTTAGCAATCTTGGAAACCAAGATCGTACCCTATGTCTCAACTCTTAATTTAATCTCAATCTAGCTTTTTCCACCGACTCATTCTCAATGGAACAGTTCCAAAATCTTCTAAGCTTATAAATGATAATGTAGATCGATAGAGTAGCACCATCTATGGTGATGTCTGTTTGTACTTTTTTCTTGCACCTAAATATATGTTCTATGGATCTTGTATTTGTACGCGCACATTCGAGTTGGACTGAAGAAACTTGTGCAATAAAGAATGTATTGATATGAATGATACGCGTTGTGTTGATATTCCTGTCTCATGATAATATACATGGTGCATTCTAAAAGTAATGCGCATTTTCTGAGAAAAATAGATTTATTGATCGTACCGGTACAAATGCTCAAAATTCTTCAAAATACTCTCCCCCTGAATCAATACACTTGCGGAGACGTGTCGGGAAGGCATGCTGAAACTCCTCGACGGGAATGTCTCTTAGGAACGTTGTAACATGCTTTTGGATGTTTTCCACGGACTCCCAATGCTTTCCTTTCAGCTCTCTCTTCAGACGGGGAAACAAAAAAAAGTTGCACGGAGCCAAGTCGGGACTGTAAGGGGGCTGGGGGACCACCGGGGTGTTGCTCCGGGCCAGGTAGTTGGCAACGATGAAGGCCATGTGGCTAGGGGCATTGTCATGGTGGAGCTTGATCGCGTCTTTGATGTCAGATTCTCCGTCACTATCCCATATACCGCAAATGTGAACATGTTTAGGGTGTCAGCGATGTACTGGATGCTTAATCGACGGTCGGAACGCAAAACTTCGCACACACGATTCACGTTTTCGTCGGTTCTGGCCGTTGTTGGGCGTCCAGAACGGGATTCATCGGCGACCTCCTCCCGACCCTCCTTGAACGCCTTGTGCCACCTCCCGGACTGTGACCTTGAAATGCAGTCGTCCTTGAAGGCCTCTTGAAGCATCTGGAATGTTTCGGTTGCATTCTTTCCAAGTCGCACGCAAAACTTGATGGCGTATCGCTGTTCAAGCTCCATCGCGCCGTGTTACAAAGTCGAAAAACACACTTCACGCGGAGGCACGTCTTTCCACTCAGACTGCTCAGAGCAAACTGGCGACCGGCTGCCTTGGAAGGGCAGACCCGCCACCACATTTCCCGACCCATTTTACCCCGCTGCGATGGATATTTGCGTCACAATAAAATCATGCACATTACTTTTATAATGCACCATGTATGTTACAGTTGTATTATTTTCGTATATATAAGAGGAATTAATACAATATATAGTATTTAAGAGTAATTAATATACATATGCGTCATGTAACATGATTCAATAATACAAATCAAAAATAAAAGTTTAGAAAGACTATGAACCAAATAACAACAAAGTAAATGTATAAATATAAGAAACAAATATAATTATCATGATCTAATGCAAATAAATAACAAATGTCATTTCGAGCCCGATTGTGTCATCTAACTTTTACTTTCATCATTGCGGACATAATTTCACATTCACGATGACAGGACGCGATTCTACTGATGGCCATTTACAGTGTATTTTTTTACCGTTGACCCGTTTTATTTTAAATATTATATATTAATTTAGTTCTTTCTAATTATGTTTATTTTTAACATTGAAGATGACCCGATCGAGCTCGAAATGACGTTTGTTATTTATTTGTGTTAGATCATGATAATTATATTTGTTTTTTATATTTGTACATTTACTTTGCTGTTATTTGGTTCATAGCCTTTCTAAATTTTTATTTTTAATAATTAATATATAGTTTTTGATAGCAAGTATAATAGTGACTGACTGGATGTTCAGTTAAATTGCACAAATTTCTATCAGGATTATATTGACAGATATATCACAACTATACATTCATTAACATTCAGTGTTCGTGGATCATCGAAGTAGCAGTTACCGTACGATTACAGAGGTCAAGCAAATGGTGGCACGCGAATGGTGATGCGCATTCGGATGGGTGATCGCTTCAAAATACCATAAAATTAATTCTCATAATATTTCCTCATAAGGCTCTAAGGAGCCTTCCTAAGTTTTCCTTACAGGATCCTGATAGTTTTTAACGAGTCCTGATAATTTATCCTTATTTTTTAGGATTTCAATAATTTTTCCTTTTAGGGTCTCGATAATTTTTCCTTATAGAGTTCTGATAAACAATTTGTTACATGCCATACTGGGTTCAAGTGATCTAACCTAATAAGGTTCGATTAATTTTAGGGCATATACTAATCTGGTCTTTTTTTGAATCCTAACAATTTTCTACACGGGTCATGTATCTATTATCATCTGTTGCAATCTTTTTTTTTTTTTTAATAGCGACAACCAATGTCAGTAAAATCAACATTTTTAATTTTCTTCATTTCGTCTCTTGCAAAAGTATATTTATGTGCATGGCCAGCCGATCATTTGTTAAGTGCAGTAAGTTACGTTTATATGTATACAAAAAACAGCTTGATACATTTAGAAATTAATAAACTAAGAATATTCTCTCTCTCTCTCTAGAGCACTGATATTGCACATGCTGTATATGATTCGATATGGTATAAGGAGAAAGTTGATTTCCAAAAAAATTTTTTACATACTCTATTGCGTGCGCAACAACCTATAGCTGTAAACGTACCTTGCATGCTACCAACTGTTTCATTACATTATTATGCCTCAGTGAGTCATCGATTTTATTTCATAGTATTTTTGTTACTATACTTTATTATTGTTACTAATACTTTATATTATTTAATAGATGTACATATTTGAGATATTTTGTCATTTTTTTACTTTTATTTGGAAATATGTAATATAAATGAAAAATTATTTATAAACATTTATATATGTTTTTGTTAATGTTCCTCGCAAGTAAAATCTCCTGGTTTTTGTAATAAATATATAAATTAATTTTTTTATATGTTGTTTATTATTATTTATATACAAATGACAAAATTAATTTAATTCCTTTTATTAAACAATGCAATTATTTAAACTATTTAAATTAAGAAGATTATATTTGCAATATTTTAGTATGTTTCAACTGCCTTCTCTTATCTGACTACTTTTCGAATTATACTTGAAGAAAGAGATGAAGATTAACGAATTGGTGCTAATACGGTGAGACTACATTTATTCGAATTGTATAAATATTTTGTGTAATAATTGTATATTTATTAAGTTTAAAGAGCGTATTTTTTAATAAAAGTAAAATCATGTTCATTGATTTCGTTTCTAAATTAAAATCATAGATTGATGTGATCATCTTTACACAAAAAATCATAATATATAAGCTATGTCTTATTTGAAAGTTGAAATTTTAGTCCTAATGAGTATAAAATTATTTTGAATAATTAGTTCGTAAGATATTGTCTGTTACATAATATTGTAAACATAACATTGATTTTTTTTCGAAAATCGATTGTTTTTTTAATAAAAATAATCATATGTGCAAATTACTGTATATATATTGTATTTCGATTCAGAAAATAGTGATTCAAAATAAATTACGGTAAATACTTACATGGAAAAAGAGCGTACATTGACCATGATTTTGACATATGCTGACCCTGAGTGATCTTCAACAGGTTTTAGACGGCGGTCGCCGTTTGTTAAAAAATTATTAACAAAAAAAGTTTAAAAAATGATGTCTCTCTTCTACTAGAGGAAACAGAAATTTTCTATACTTTAAAATATATTTTACGACCTTCTACGTGAAGCGAAGGCCTTCTAACACTACAATATGGTGAAAGTCGTTTCGCGTGGAAAGTCGTGTGCCCGAACGCTCTCTACGCCTGTGCGCCTGTGTAACCTATAAACTTATGTACGCTAGTAAGAAATGTAAGGTTATATATATAAGACCAGTCCTAATAGGCATACATCTAAAGGCTTATTCTCTGTTTTTTTTTTCAATAAAAAAAAGTATGCCCCTAAGCAAAGGGAGAAGTGGGGTAGAAGTTGCTTTGGAAAGTCGTAAAATATATTTTAAAGCAAAATTTTGTTTTGTATAGTAAAAAAGAGATATCACTTTTCAACTTTTTTCAACTTTTTGTTAATAATTTTTTAATGAATAGCGGTCGCCACCTAAAACCTGTTGACGGTCACTCATAATCATGACTTTGACAACATATGTCAAGATCAAGGTCATTGAAAGTGGCACCTTTTTTCTATATATATATTCTATTAGGTGCGCAACTAAGTTCTCGCTGTTATTTTGATGAAAATGCAACTTTATTGTGAAAAAATGGTTACAAATGAATCATTGAAAGTATTGTCCATCGCTAGCTACTACTTTTTCCCATCTTTCTGGCAGAGCTCGTATACCATCACGATAAAACTGTTCACTTATTGCTGGAGCCATCTGTTGATAAACAGCGGGAACTTAGTTGCGCACCTAATATATTTTACTTTCTAGCATTAAAAAATATATTAAATTTTTTTATTTTATGACATCTTGCAATTAGATTTAAATATTTGTAATAAATAATAATATAATTTAAATGAGAAATAATAAATATGAAATAAGTTATTCACATTAGTTGCCTTGTTATTAAATATAAATTTAAGATAAGAAATATAAGATAAAAAGAGAAAAGGAAGGTTATGGCGATTATATTACGATATTATGTGTAGTTTTCGGTACTTACATTCTGGGAGTGATCATAAAAATTTTTCATTCTGCTTAAATATTATAACATGGCTACTGGTTATTAGTGCTTACAGGGTTGTAAAAACTGTATTTCAGTTTTGTAGGTAACAGACACTTTTACGAATGTGTATTTTTTATACATAATTTTGAAAAGTATATTTTGGTAAATACATGCTAATTTTACTTTAGCTTGAAGATTTTAAATGTGGATTTCAAATCACATAATTGAATTAAATTTTGAGAATGTGTGCATGCATTTGACATATAAAGTTATACTATTGGGTATTAGCATGGTACTGTGAGTACTAGTTGGTAATATTCCATATTCCCTTTTCTATTTTACAATCTTTTCTCTTTCAGTTTTTTTGTAAATTATATTCGTTCTGTATATCGAAGAATTTCTTTCCAATATAATTGGTATCGTTTATATACTAATGACTAACAAATTTATACTTTTATAATTATGTTACACGGATATCAAGGTGAGTTATTTAAAAAAGAGAGAATAGTATTTTATAATCTTCTTCCTTGCTTTACTTATATATGTATACATTAAGGTGATTATTATTATAACAATTTTTGAAATTTAATTGGAATACCAAAGTGGTTCAATATCTCAAAAAAATAACACCTATATTTTTTCAGATTTTTTGAACAATTTTAATCTGTGCCACCGGGATACGGGTAGGAAAAAGACCTTTGTGGACAAAATTCAGCCGCTTTAATTCTTAACTAATTAAAAAAAATTTTTTTTTAATTTGCTCGTAATTGAATAAACTATAAGCCTATTTTGCATAAATTTTGATTCCGGTTCAAATTAAAAATTGCCGATCTCATATTTGTTATCGTAAAATTTTGATTTTTTTCTGTTCACTTCATTGGATTTGCAATTTTTACTTTACACTGTTAGAAATGTAAATGAAGCTCGTGGTTATGAATAAAATTGAAAGTAATAAATAATTTAACTGAAAATTAAGTTACAGTAGTTACTTAATATATATGTAATGAACGTGTACATTAAATTTATGTACTTTTAATAAAATTTTATGAAAAATACATTAAATTTCATAAATTTTTATGAAAAATTGAATTTTATGTACATATACACAAATATACTTTTTAGTTATAAATACATTAAATTTAATATAATCTCATGAAATTAAGTTCAAACTGTATAACTTAAAAGTTAATGAAATTTAAGAACATTTCTAATAGTGTGGGTTATAATCAAAATTTATGCAAAATTTAGTTCATTCAATTTCGATTAAATTAAAAGAAAAAAACTTTAAAATTGATTAAAAATTAGAGCGTCTGCCGAATTTTGTTCACAAAAATGTTTTTTCGTCTACCTCAGTGGCATATTATCTGATATTGTGAGCAAATTGCTGTCAAAAATATGACAAAATTAGATATGCTTTGCCAGTAGATTGGTAACAGAAATCGAGCAAAGTCCTGTATATCCTGAGAGTAGATTGAAAGCAGAATCATGGTGGAAGTAATATTATTTCCACCACAAGCAGAATCTGATTCAAGTAGACTCTATACTCAGTTTTTACTACTAATCTGCTGGCATAACTTGTCAGCAGACTTCGTCGACAAATCCATAGGTGTATCCAAATCTGGACAAAGATGGCTATGATTTTGTAATCAAAATCTGTTCGAGTTTGCTACCAATTTGCTAACATTTGCCTTAAATTGCTAACATTTTGTTATTAGGGTTATATTTATATGTAGTATAACGCAAGTATATATGTATAATATACATATAATTAAATATGTAATCATATAAGTACCCTAATAATACATATTAATTCTGAGCAGGTTCCGTGGGATATCGAAAAAGTATATTGTGTTCATTCTCAGAACGTTCGAAATATGTACTGCAACGTACTATAGTATAATACATACAAAGATAATTCTTATGTCTCTACGTACTTTAGTTACTGGTACATACTAAAGACGTCCCACAGTGTGTTTACAGTACAATTACGGTCTGTGAATGATACCAACATGCAAATAGGTTATATACTATCGATAATTTGCAGTATATCTATAGAAAGGTTATGAAATATTATGCACGCATACATATACAGCTTCGCGTATGCACGAGTATATATATATATATATATATATATAATATAATATATTTTCTACCAAGAAACACAGATGATACAGTGTAAAGTATCATTATATTCTTTGCCATTATATTCTTATATTGTTTGCCAATTAATAAGGATAAAATCGATTTACTGCGGTACACTACTACTGTACATGTCATGGTACATTCCAGCAAACGAGAATGAATTGAAATGAATTGAAATGGATTCAGATTTCCAGAAATATTGATTCACGAATGTTAAAATGAATGCTTTTCAATCCTGAATGCATTTTTATTCATTTATAGGAATTGCATGGAGCATATCTCTATGCCTTTCAATCTAAAAATAATATTAGTTTTTTCTGTGCATTATGAATACTGTTCAATTCAAAATTTTGAATAGGAAATGTAGTTTTTCGACCCAATTGCATCCAATTCAATCTAATTAAATCCAATTAAATCCAAAAAAGTATTCACTATTTAAAATACACATTCGGATAGAAAAAAATTTCAATCCATTTTAATCCATTCTCATTTGCTGGAGTGTTTTTTGTTAGAAAAAACTCTTATGATTAGGATTATGTTAAGTTATTAATTTGTCTTTATGTCTTATTAGAGTTTATTATTATTTATATTACATTATTTATTACTATATCAATGCTTTAAAACATTCATCACCTTATTCTTCGGCACCATATTTAAAAAGAAAGAGAAAATCACAGAGCAGGAGAGCACTAGAACATGTTGGAACTTCCACTATGACACTAGACTAGTATAGCGCTAGAAATAGAGTACGTAGGTGTTTTTGCATTTGCTTATTCAGTTTCTATGAAGTAGTTTCTGAGTTTGTTTTAAAGAATGAAATTCGTATTCGGGATAATATCCCAGCAGAATAGATTAAAATGGATTAAAATTTTTTTAATGCGTACTTTAAATCTATGAAAATGAATTGAATGGATTGAAATGGATTGAAATGGATCCGAGCTAACACTTAGTTTAATATTCGAAAAAAAAGACGTTCATCTTTAAGGGTTACATTTTCTAAGACATTTAATTTATAATAATTATACATGAAATTAACTACTTCAAATTGATATTAAAAAACGCATTTTAGTGGGATTCGAATCTGAGACCTCTGGATTGAATCTTCTATGTTACCCACTTTTTCAATTGGTAAATGTGTTATTCATTCTCTACTCCAACCTCTATTACAACCAGCTAAACTAGTAACAAAATTATATAGATATAATAAAAATATCATCATTTAACAGATATAATAAAGTATAAACAATTTATATAATATTACTATGAGACGATATTGGAAAAGTGTCGAATAATCTAATCTTGGTTGGCCGATGTCGCGCGATGATTAGTCTAATATTAGAGCTGTGTTCAACTAGTTTGCGGGTGTTCACATCGATCATTCATTTTATTTTGAAT